GGGGGGGGTTGTGGTTGTAGTTTGAAAGCTCATAGAATAACTGATATCGTGCCGGACTGGTGTGTCGATGACTCTGCCCGGTTTGTAACCTTAAGAGGGCGTTTGTGAACTTGGTTTGTTGGGGATGTTTTTCTGACTCTCCAAACACTTCATGATGTCCTATCTGTGATGAGCGATCTATTGAAAGTGTCATAAAGATAAAGGTGTTCAAGTCATCTTGAGATTATTTCGAGAAAACAGCTGGGTTTATCGCGAAATATTTACTACCTATATGGTAATTTGTAAAAGTCGTAATTCTAATTTAAAGCCATACATCCATTTCATCTAAATACCAATAAATGTAGTCGAGCCTGACGTGTGTTTTTATGGTAAGAATTCTATACTTAGGGAAAGGGGAACTCAGACCCTTCATTTTTTTCGACCCGTCAGTTGTAGGTCACACCTGTAGAATGACCTTGCAATGTTGAACGTGGTGTGAAACCATACTGCTTCATATCTATCAGGCTTGTTTAGGTATGTCCACACAAGGATATTTTTGTATCGGGCCAGTTTCTGAGAGAAAAAAAAGCAAGGATCCTTTTTATTGTGGAAAGATGAAAAGAGTCCTTCTCAAGATGATTCTTTTTTTTGTCGGCCGTAACAATTCTACGTTGTTCTGTCGGTCAGTAGATGTTCTGCTTTAACGACTTTCCAGACGTGGAAGATTTGAACCCGGGCCATCTAGCTTCTGAAATAAAGCGGTTTGAGACGCTTCTAGGGCTGGGCAATGAGTCGCTTTAGCAAAATCCGGTTAGTGCACCTTTTTGGTAAATCATATGTTATGAACCGATTCGGCAAAAGGGTAAGAACCACTTTAACAAACGGATTAGAATCATTTCAACAAATGGGTGCACCCACTTCGGCAAAAGGGTTCGGAAAGAGAGAGTCTGAATTCGGATACTGTTTTGTTGAGAATTATCCGATTATCCGGATATTTATCCGGATTTTGCCCACCTCTAACGCTTACTCGAAACACTCAGGCCAGGATCCCGAGTTTGAACCTTGTTACTCGGGGCTAGCAACTGTAACATTTTGTGTGCTTGGCGTTGCACATCATTTCTCACCAGTTATGCTCTCTCTAAGTTTCGAATGAAAAGATAAACTTTGTATGATCTCCTCTGAGCAATGTCTTTATCGACACTATCTTTTCGCGGGTCGACTCCCACAGAGGCAGACGAATGCTATAGGTCGTTATGTTTGCTTTGAGTCGGTGGTAACGTTCATAAAATAGATTTTTATACCAGTTTCCGGGAGAATCGGCTGTTTGGTTGTTTTAATTGCCAATTTATGAGCGTCGCTACCTCCCCGCCCTCATCTGCATTCTAGGTCAGCAGGCCAAACTGTCGGTTTGCCGGTTTTCTCTCGTGTCAATTATCGCCAGCACTATGAAAATGCATAGATTGCTTATTTGATAACCAGATAAATGCTTTCCGCGCAGTCATATATTATTCTTTTTATCGCTTATTTGGGTTGGAGTCATATTGGTATCGAGTTACATCTCCGCAGTTACGTCAGAGTCCTAGTTGGTAACGGTACGCTTGCACAATTAATCAGCGAAGTGAGAAGGGGTTCAATCAAACCGTGCTGTGATCAGCCATCTAAGTATCTCTGCTTCATATATTTTTTAGCGTAATCTCTTGATTTACGCACCGCCGACTCGGACTGACGGTATCGCTCGTCCCCACCCATGGAGTCTGCTTTCGGCTTAGGCCCTGGGTTGCTGTCATAATTAAGATGCGTTTCCTGATTCGAGAGCGACGTTTATATTGATTTATTCGTCTGGACCACTAAAGGCAACAGGGCCATAATATTATGGTTTGACGTTTGCTGTTGACTGTATTTAGTATAAGGACTTTTATCGTAGATTATGCCACAACTACATAATATAAATATATATTATATATAAAATAAAATATATGTATGTATATATATATATATATATATATATATATATATATATATATATAATATACAAAAATATAAACCGAAGTCAGTGGGGCTCTCGTGGTCTAGAGGTTAAGGTGTCTGTCTCTCATTCAATAGATCCCGGGTTCGAATCCGGATAGCCACGGAAAAATTTCTTCTCTAAAATTTTCTATTTTCACATCTTTTCATACTTTCAAACAACCATTATTTGTCTGTTTTCGTCTCCACTTTCTAAATTGTGTCAATGGGAGCGTAAAGACACCTACATTATTTTGTGAAAAAGAATATATTTCATATAAAATATTATACGTACTGTTTTAGACTGTGAAAATTTCAAAAACTTATTGCCCTAAAAACCTAGACACGTATGTACGACACGTGTAATATGACAATATACACTTTGGGCTCCAAATTGCCGAATTGCCGACTATATAGCCGATTAAGCGCTTGATTTGCTTTTAAAATAGAGGTAACTACAAGTCGCTTCAAGGACATAACATGTTGAGACAATGTCTGGGAGGTGAAGATTGTTTATCAAGTACAATAAGATAGATGAGATACCCAGAAAACTGCTACGGCTCATGTGAATTGAAATACGACGCGGGGCTTTGTTTTTCTCAAAATTGTATGAAACGTAGTTAATTGTTTTGTTGTTGTTGTTGACATTTTAGAATATTCTAAGGATACACGCCAGTGGCCCACTGTTGGTGTGCAGGTGATTGAAGGGCGCCAGTGTCAGGTCATACTTCTCTACTTTCCCTCTGTTATTTCTGTCTGTCTTACTTTTTTCCAACTCTAAATGACTATTACTGTACTGTGTCGATGTGCTTCTCTTTCCTCAAACAAATACACACTGTTGGTGTTGTGCTCATTAAAGTTGCAGTTTGGTGTTCTTTTCTTCACTAAGAGGCGCATGTTATTATGACATTCATGTGTTTGGAGAGTGACCTTGGGCCTACGTCTATTTTTTTAGGTCAGTTATTGTGACGATGGACGTGACATCGGAGGTCCTAAACTTCACACATAATCTTAGACTAATGCAGCCGTAAGATGAGGGCCATTAAACGGTTGAGTCCTTCCTATGCAACATCAAGAAACGCAATTGCTTTTAACCATTAATTTTTTACATTTATTTTTTCTTCAGAATTTTGAACGTGTCCTGGAGCACAACAGGGACCTGAGACGGGAAGTCATGTCTTTGAGGCGGGAACGAGACACCCTGCAGAAGACTCTTGACAGGCATAAGCTTCACTGTCCTACTTTTGTAGAAGTTAAAACGGAGCCAATGGACGAGGCGGAGAACCCGGAGGGCGGCGATTCCACATGTACGGCGTCTGCCGCATGCGCCAGCAACAGACACGGCCACACGCCGGACGCCCAGCACCGAGCTATAGGTGGATCTCACTACCACACTCCGTCACAGCCGAGTCCTCTCCTATTCTCGTCGCCGCCCGCTGGAGCCGATACCCCAGTTCACGCGAACCGTGCCTTGCGAGAATATGAAGACTACCCCCCGTTTGTTCCTCTGCCTGGCATTGGTAGTCTGAAAAAAGAGTCGCAGCAGTCACCTGTACCAACTCACCAGCAGTTGAGCATTCAGGTCCCCAATCCGGGGTCGAGTCTAGGTGGTGTAGCTGGTGTTGACACTTCCGGTATCCATCATCCTGGTCATCAACACAATTCTCAACAGCCCCAACAGTCACAGCAACAGCTTCAGCTACAGCAGCACACAGAGATGGGAGGATCCCTGCAACACAGCTTGCCATGGTGCTCCTCGCCGCAACGTCTAGGACAACCATTGCCACAGCAACAGTTTAGATCATGTGTCTATGAGAACATGCCCCCTAGCACACGAGCCATATCCACCTGTGCTGAAATTCAGCCTCACCAATACAACCAACGACAACAGCATCATCAACAACAACAGCAACAGCAACAGCAACATCATCACCACCAACAACTGAATTTGCCACCCTCAATGGCCGCTGACATCATGTCGTGTAGCCCAAATCACGAGTACGGAAGTCCATCAACCCCTCGCCATTTACAAACTGCCATTTCTCCTAATCCATTTCCTAGTATCAAGAACGACATCGTTGCCATTTCTCCAAGCAGTACTTCTCAAGTCACGCCGCCAACCACACCCACTCGTAGGAGCCAGTACCCGGGCATCTGTCGCTTACTGCAGCTCCCGCCTTCCCCCTGCAATAAGGCGATTCCTACATCTTTTGGCGCACCAAGCCCCGCCACTACACCTCAGCATCTGGGCAACACCTTCAGCTCGGCCTCAACCAGTGCCCACAGTCCCGAGACCACCAGTAGCAGCACGAGCAATAGCGGTGGTACCGACAGCAGTGTGATGACATCATCTTCAAGCTACAGCGCCGTGCTATCTCATTACGATGTGGGCGAGCACTGTCAGCGTCTCAGCTCCTCCTCTGCTGTCAGTCTAGGTACCCCGGACACGCCCCACTCGGAGGCGGAGAGATTGCGACTCGGAAGCGAGTCGTCGGACAGTAGTCTGTTCTTGGAAACCTTGTCCGACTCCGCCCGAGAGCAAGACAGTCGCTCTGGTGAGGTGCCGGACATGGACAGCGATGACGTCTTCATACTGATGACATCCGTGGCTGACACACCCACTACCTTGGCCGGTCATGACGCAAACAACAACAGCAGTGCGTATCTTGACCGCAACAGCATTGCTGCGACGACTTCTACAACACGAGTGGCCGAACAGCCGGCTGTAGGCCGTCAGGCTGAGATCACAACACGTCACTCTGACGCCACACGTGTTGTTGCTCAGGATGAAGCTCTGGTTACCAGTGTACTTAACAACAGTGGCCATAACGAGACCTCAAATACATCGTCACTGGGCAGTGGAAGTAGCAATCCTTTGCCAGACGACATCAACAGTCTCCTCATGGACATTGCAAATAACGACCTTTTTTTCAACCAGAGTCCCCCTCCTCCCTTTAACATGAGAGACTTCATGAACTACACCCCTGAAGATTGACAAAAGCCACCGGACACCAACATGGGAGAACGAGTGTCTGTGGTCAAGCTTTAGTGCTTCAGCTTCAGAACGTAAAAATTCAGCTCCCAGACTTTTGGAAATAGCTTTTGTTCCGGGGTTTACAGGTGTGCTTCATGACTCCTACGAAATCCAATTTTTCAAATGACTCGATTATATAGCCATTGAACAGATTTTTAAACAGTCGTTAACGTTGGCTTTGAACTCTAACCCGTATGTGACTAGTCAACCGGGGTGCGTTCTGTGAAAGTTCGGACTCTTTGTCTAACACACGAAGGACTTGAGTTTGACTTCAAGACAGGTAATAATATTTTGTCAAGCATACCTGCCTTTATATTGCAATACGTCCCACACAGCTTGTGTTGGCTCTGGTAGATGAGGAACAACAACATCAACCAGAACGAGAATCAGAAAAACAAAAAAAATTAATACCAAAATAAATGGTTGGTTGTTGTCTACAGTATCTGGGAAACGTCTCTAAGGCTTTGTATTCAAGACTGATGTCACAGGACAGAACTTTACAAACAATGTTGGGATAAACAGAATGTAATACATGTATGCACTCTATCAGTATGCAACTGGACCGCGGTTGTTTGGAGTAATTCAGGGCGATGTGACAAATACTCGTTTTATATTATAATGAAAAAACTATTCTTTGTAGATGAGTATGTGCCTTGACAGTTGCATCATCGTCTCACCAGCGTATTGAGATGGATAGATTGAGAATCGCTGTCTATGAATATAAACTTTTGACACTTCAGAGTTGGACTGATCTTACATTTCCTCGCTCAACCTTGGGATCTTGCAAGAACAATCTGGTCAGCTGGCTGAATGTACCCCTTCTATGAGGAGAGAGGATACAGCTGCTGCTGAAGTAGTGAACGTGTGCCATGTATCTACCTGTATGAACAGTACATGACTTGATAGCCAAATGTGAAGGGTACTTTAGCTCGAGGTGAGCTGGCAGCAGGAGATGACCATGCAATTATTTTGCATCATTGAATGTTTCTTGACTCCAGATGTTTCTCTGTTGCCGTAAAAACAATGTTGAAAGGATTATGACGTCCTAGGTTCATTGAAATAAGTGTATATATCATCATTTTCTGTTTTCATTCTCAACTGAAAAAAACACCTTTTTATCGCAACATCCACGTTCCACAAATGTCATCATGAGCTTACAAAGCGCACAAAATCCTCATTTTGTCGGTCGTGAGTAATCTACAGTATCTACGTTCCCTTACAAAGTGACAGGAGAAAAAGAGAATTGTTGTTTTTTTTTTGCTTTGTTTTGTTTTACTGTTCGAAACATTTCCTTATTTGAATATGATATTGCCTCATTATATGTTGTCGTTTGAAAGAACCTTGAGAAAAAACAACAAAACAAACTTTAAAATTTGTTACATTGAGAAACTTGGCCTGAAAGAAGAACCCGGTAATACCCCGTCCAGACGCCCCTATGATTTGACAGAGATCCCAGTGATAATGTAACCCCAGCTATGTCAACTCAAAATAAGTGTACTTTATCATAGATTGGATCGTTGTTCATTCAGTCAATATTATGTAGAGTGTGTGCTCGATGTAGCTTGGAGAGGCGGAATGTCGTTCGCAGAATTCGGTCGGAATTTACTAGCTCTGAAAGGAAATTTGATTTTGAAAGACCCCGCAGCACTCAGCTTGCACCTTTGTTCTACATTCTGCACGCGGTCGATTTATCTTTAATGCTGAGTACCCCACTCCAACAGTATGCAAAACCTGGACATTTTGACGACGTTATACAAGTTTTCATTACCATGAGGCTTGGTGACGACATATTCTGATCTCATTTGGATTTTTATGCTTATTCATGGAACATTCTATCAGAGAATATATAATATTCATCGTTTTCATTTTGCAAAACATTGCATTTATCTTGATTTTGTTTTTTGTTTTGTTTTTGAACAGCTGTTGATTTGTCACGTCTCTGCACTCTCACGTTCTGTGAACAATGTAAACAAATTTTACATTTTCATGCAGGCACATGCACTTACCACCGCTCACAAATACTATGTCTTATCATCCTGAATGGAGTGTTTAAAAATGCAAATCCAATATGGACAAACCAGCACTTGTTATACTTTTTTTCGCCTCTCTCTCGATTTTGGGTACAATGTCAGTCTCTCTGGGTTTTTTTTTATTTCTTTACCTGATATGAGTCCCCGATTCCTAATACCGAGTGCCCATTTCCAATCGAAGTTATTTAATACAGTTAGGGCAATCCAGATTGTTCGTCACAAATAGAGATGAAGCTACCTTTTAAAAATAATAATTCGATCAGATTCGACTCTGACCGTAAAATCAAGTTTGCGTTTCAAGGTAGTAATTGGAAAAGATTGTACGGTGCGACAATGATAGCTTCTGCCCCAACTCGAAGAAAAATGTGGCTGGCACCTATTCAGTACAACTTAATCCAGTTGGCAGCGTGCACCTGGTATAAGGTTACATGCAAAGCATTATTTTCTTTACTTACTTTTCTCTCTGACATCCTAAATTGTGGCGAACTCCACCACTTGAAACCAGAGGTATCTTGTGAATATTAAAATTTGAAGCCTGTATCTAGACTCAGACTTAACATGCATTTTAAGTTGGGCATGGTCAACAGAATGAAGAGGTTAAATTTGATACTGCGAAAAGGGAAAACAGGGTGGAAAGGAAGTCGATTATCTCAAAGTATCATTATTCTGACAACTACAAAGAAGTGGAATTATTCAGAATCAAACTTTTGTTGTATGTTTGTAAACACAAGCACCTTATCTCAAATCTGCCTTCAATAAAGCCCCAAGAAAGGCTACCAGAAAGTATTCTGGACATTTCTATTTCTTTAAAGTTGCTTAATTGGGTTTGAATTTGACATACACAATACACCTGCCATTTGTAATTAATTACTTATTCCCTTAAGGCGATGACGGAGCTGTTGGGGTTCTGAGCAGGCGTAAAAAAGGTCACCAGAGCTCGACGTACAGAAACTTGGGGTCCAGACTACCTCGTAGACGCCCTCTCTTCGTCATGTAAAGCAGCGAGATCAAATTCGGTTTCTTTAGATCGTAATAATTATAATATTATTATGCTGTCACTCCAGAGAAAAACGCAGATTCCAAATGGATAGGACACAAGACGTGTTAGATTTTGTACTAGTGATATGATCTTGTGATTCTTTAGAAATATAATATGGTATACATCTTTGAAAGCACTAGGGAGTTCAGGGAGAGGAATGGGTTTGGCTATGGGTAGGGGTCATAAGAGGCGCATGTTATTATGACATTCATGTGTTTGGAGAGTGACCTTGGGCCTACGTCTATTTTTTTAGGTCAGTTATTGTGACGATGGACGTGACATCGGAGGTCCTAAACTTCACACATAATCTTAGACTAATGCAGCCGTAAGATGAGGGCCATTAAACGGTTGAGTCCTTCCTATGCAACATCAAGAAGCGCAATTGCTTTTAACCATTAATTTTTTACATTTATTTTTTCTTCAGAATTTTGAACGTGTCCTGGAGCACAACAGGGACCTGAGACGGGAAGTCATGTCTTTGAGGCGGGAACGAGACACCCTGCAGAAGACTCTTGACAGGCATAAGCTTCACTGTCCTACTTTTGTAGAAGTTAAAACGGAGCCAATGGACGAGGCGGAGAACCCGGAGGGCGGCGATTCCACATGTACGGCATCTGCCGCATGCGCCAGCAACAGACACGGCCACACGCCGGACGCCCAGCACCGAGCTATAGGTGGATCTCACTACCACACTCCGTCACAGCCGAGTCCTCTCCTATTCTCGTCGCCGCCCGCTGGAGCCGATACCCCAGTTCACGCGAACCGTGCCTTGCGAGAATATGAAGACTACCCCCCGTTTGTTCCTCTGCCGGGCATTGGTAGTCTGAAAAAAGAGTCGCAGCAGTCACCTGTACCAACTCACCAGCAGTTGAGCATTCAGGTCCCCAATCCGGGGTCGAGTCTAGGTGGTGTAGCTGGTGTTGACACTTCCGGTATCCATCATCCTGGTCATCAACACAATTCTCAACAGCCCCAACAGTCACAGCAACAGCTTCAGCTACAGCAGCACACAGAGATGGGAGGATCCCTGCAACACAGCTTGCCATGGTGCTCCTCGCCGCAACGTCTAGGACAACCATTGCCACAGCAACAGTTTAGATCATGTGTCTATGAGAACATGCCCCCTAGCACACGAGCCATATCCACATGTGCTGAAATTCAGCCTCACCAATACAACCAACGACAACAGCATCATCAACAACAACAGCAACAGCAACAGCAACATCATCACCACCAACAACTGAATTTGCCACCCTCAATGGCCGCTGACATCATGTCGTGTAGCCCAAATCACGAGTACGGAAGTCCATCAACCCCTCGCCATTTACAAACTGCCATTTCTCCTAATCCATTTCCTAGTATCAAGAACGACATCGTTGCCATTTCTCCAAGCAGTACTTCTCAAGTCACGCCGCCAACCACACCCACTCGTAGGAGCCAGTACCCGGGCATCTGTCGCTTACTGCAGCTCCCGCCTTCCCCCTGCAATAAGGCGATTCCTACATCTTTTGGCGCACCAAGCCCCGCCACCACACCTCAGCATCTGGGCAACACCTTCAGCTCCGCTTCAACCAGTGCCCACAGTCCCGAGACCACCAGTAGCAGCACGAGCAATAGCGGTGGTACCGACAGCAGTGTGATGACATCATCTTCAAGCTACAGCGCCGTGCTATCTCATTACGATGTGGGCGGGCACTGTCAGCGTCTCAGCTCCTCCTCTGCTGTCAGTCTAGGTACACCGGACACGCCCCACTCGGAGGCGGAGAGATTGCGACTCGGAAGCGAGTCGTCGGACAGTAGTCTGTTCTTGGAAACCTTGTCCGACTCCACCCGAGAGCAAGACAGTCGCTCTGGTGAGGTGCCGGACATGGACAGCGATGACGTCTTCATACTGATGACATCCGTGGCTGACACACCCACTACCTTGGCCGGTCATGACGCAAACAACAACAGCGGTGCGTATCTTGACCGCAACAGCGTTGCTGCGACGACTTCTACAACACGAGTGGCCGAACAGCCGGCTGTAGGCCGTCAGGCTGAGATCACAACACGTCACTCTGACGCCACACGTGCTGTTGCTCAGGATGAAGCTCTGGTTACCAGTGTACTTAACAACAGTGGCCATAACGAGACCTCAAATACATCGTCACTGGGCAGTGGAAGTAGCAATCCTTTGCCAGACGACATCAACAGTCTCCTCATGGACATTGCAAATAACGACCTTTTTTTCAACCAGAGTCCCCCTCCTCCCTTTAACATGAGAGACTTCATGAACTACACCCCTGAAGATTGACAAAAGCCACCGGACACCAACATGGGAGAACGA